CCCCATAGCAGCCAAAGTAAGTACAATTTCGACTTTTTTTTTACATACCCATACTGAGGGAAGGGTTTTTGATACTTTAAAAAGAAAAAAGAATTTTTTCCAGAGAATTTATTTCCTGCGCACTGCGGGGGTGTCACATTTGGAGGCAACGCAGTTAAGGGGTTAAGGTTAGCATATTTTCCACTTTATCTCTAGACACCTCTATGTGCTCTATGTTGTTCTCTGGAATTCTTATTGTATCTGGTTCTCTGAAGATCTCATTGTGTACAAACACACTTTGGAACTTTTCGTTTAATGTTTCACACATTTCCTTTTCATTTTCCGTGTATCTGTCCCCCATTTTCAACCTCTGAATATTATCCTTTACCTGCAGCTTACTTTTAATGAATTTATAGAAAAGGCCTGGATCTGATTTACATTTGTCTGCTATACCGCTCTCAAAGTTCCTCTCTGCCTTTCTCCTTACTGACGTGTAGTTGTTTCTTACATCTTTATATCGCTAGTATGTTTGGGGGTTTGGCCTCTTCCTATAATGATTCTATGCTTGTATCTTTTGATCTCTGGCCCTCTCGCAATTTCTGTTGAACCAACCCTGTTTCCTAGGTCTGCATGTCTGCTTTGGTATGAATGTTTGTGCACCTTCATCATATATTGTGCAAAATTTGGCATACATCTCATTTACTTGCCTAGCAACAAGTCTCTCCAATTATACCCAAGAAAATGTGTGTGTGTGTGTGTGTGTGTGTGTGTGTGGGGGGGGGGGGGGGAACAAACTTCAGCCACCAAGCAAGAGCTTACAGCCTCTGACAACTCTCCTGTGAGTGCCCACTCAAGTATAGACCCTAATGTGTTAGGGTCCTGCAGTCAGAGGATGAAGGAAGTAAGGCCCGGGTACACAACAGTCACAGCTGCAGCAGCTGGAACTTACATGATCGGGGTCTGAGACAAGTTCTGTAATGCTTCTTCAAAGCAGAGAATAAAGACTCCAACTACATCTAAATTAAACTCCTAAGGCTGATATATACTTTGCTGCTTCATAAGCTGTCTGCCCAAAAGGTGGACCAAGCAAGATACCTACTACACATGGCAGATTAAGCAAACCCAAAGATGAAACTTACCTAGAGCCCAATAGACGAAAAGCCATCGGCAAAATGGTCGAATGTTAGGGGGTCAAGAAATATTGTGCAGTACAGTATGACCACTTTTTCTGAGAAGGACCCTCAGTTTACCCTTATTCACTCAACAGTAATTGGAGACCTAGTTTTAAACTAACCAGCAGGTCATGTTCCAGAAAAACTAGTAGGGTAATGTTTAAGATTAGGTATGGGCAAGGAACTTTCAAATCCTGCTAACTGTTCCCCTGCTATCCATGCGTGTGCCCCCCATTAGTTAAGTGTGTGTCTAATTGTTTCCTAGTTTTCTACTCATGTGATTTAAGTCCCTAAGGTCATCCCCTTGGAGCATGTTTTGGATTATCTGGGTGGTTGGTTCTGTTTCTGGTGGAGTCCTCACTCTCTAGTAAAATGCCTTTAGCTTTCTAGTTGGGTACCCAGGTTTCCTGGTTGGTTTTCCCAGGTCTCTGGACTATTCTATGCCCCAGGCCCCAAGCTTCTATGCCATTTATTTCCTGAATCGCAAGAGGCATACCTCAATTCCCCAATTTGTCTTCAGAAAAGTGTGCCACCAAACACCTTCTATCTGTGTGGTTTTGGGGTTTTTCTGAATGTATCTTCTGAATTACTGAGGGTCCCCTTTGTTTCTGACTGGGCTCCCAATTCTACATTTATGCTCCTAGGCTATGGATGTGTTCCAGCTCTTTGGAGGCCTACATGGTCCCTCAGAACATGCCTCTTTTTTTTCATAGTACAATCATCTGAAATGGGGAATATCTTGTGAATTCCTCTGTTCTGTTGTTCTTCTTCTGTTCTGATTCTTAACAGTTGTGGCCTGGGAAATGTTATCTAATTCACCCAGATGACTCCCTTAGTTTTTTCCTGGTGAGAGGGCCCTGCTTCTCTTGATGCGATCATTGAGTTTTTCTGAGCCTCTTGGAAAATGGTCTGATTTTCTGGCAGTCTCTTCAGTTATACATCTGGAGGTTCTCTGTAAAATACAGTACACTGGTTTTCAGGCTGTTTTCTTGGCTCTCCACCCAAGTCATGACTGTCAATCTCTTCTTTCCCTGACACATGATGTGGTTTGCTACTTTGTGCATCTCTTGGTCTTACTGACTGGCTACTTGCTTCTCATGCCCTGCACCTTCATGTTTCTAGTGCCTCACTTGCATTTCCTAATATTTTCATCCTATGTGCTGGGTGGTTGGCAGTCTTAAGTTCAGCAGCTTATTTATAAGGTGGTTTCAATACTTGGGATGAGTCTTGTCCTTCTCTTCTCCATCTGGTGGTTACCCAGGATCTGTTTTACTCACTCCTTGTAGCCCAAGATCTGGAGCCCTCTCCTATTCTGCCATCTGGGAATAGGTGTCAGCATCCTAAGTGGTGATTTTTGGTTCATGGTAAACTTTGGCATGGAGGTATGTGTCTTTTAGGGCTATTTTTCCTCCTTGCCCCATTTTTTTGTGCTTCACCAGCCAATCTTCAAAACTTATTGGCTAGTTCTATGTGACCTTTTGCATCCACTCTCTCGGTTGGTTGTACTTTTTCGGGTTGTTTGGAAGCATCTGTCTGATCTGTAATGTTTGCAAGTATGGTTCATCTTGCCACTTCCGCCAGAGCTCGAGCCAACTTTCCTTGGCCTCACCTTTTCCTTACACATTATGTTGTCCAGGGAGAAGTTAGATGTGTGGAGACCTCTGGTCAGTACTTGTATCTCTTTTGTTTGTGCCTTCTATTGCATGATGGGGCTCTGTGTTCACACCAGAGTTTGGTTTAATTTGGCTTTTAGGGCCTTGTGTGCCCTGAATTTAATGACACACCCATCCTCTTGCTTCCCTTAAGGAAAGGTAGACCTCCTGGCTCCTTGGTGGATGGTTGAGCCTTGGTTTCAGGCACTTCTTGCTCGATTTCCAAACCAGGTGTTTTTCCGAGGCTCCGCTTCTTGCAGAAGATCAGCGCAATGACGTACTTCACTGGTTTGACCTTCTCCACTCTTTGCGTCTGGACTTTTTGATGAATCTTTATTGCCATCTATATGGTGAGCATGTGACTACTTTGATGGTGTCTCACATGCGGTTGTCTTCATGGAGGCAGAATGAATTTTCTTTGTACTCTTTTCGCCACTTCCTTTCACTTCATTGTTGCTCTTCTATTTATGAGCATGTAATGCTCTTGTTTCTTTCTTGGCTTTTTCTTGATTGACATCCCATGCAGAATACTGTCGCCTCATATCATGTGACGCTGGCAAAGCTTCTGCAGCTTACATTCGGCACTGATACTACCGCGGAGGTGTTTCGCTGGCTGTTTCGCTCATTGTTTCTCCTTCAGCCTGCTAAATGTGCCACCCAAGCCTGCTTGATCTTTGAACTGCGTTGCTTCTTTTCTGTCCACCTCTCAGTTTACAGTGTCTTTTCAGTCTGTGACTTTTTCTAAAGCTCTCTTTTTGGTGGCTCTTGAATCCAATTGTCGGGCTGAAGAGCTTAATGCTCTCCTCCAGAGGTGGGTTTTTATTCTTTTGGCCTCTGGTGGGTGTTTTGTTCATTGGCAGGCAGCTCCCCCTTTTCTGGCAAAAAAACTAGTCGACCAGTTTTCTGAGGGGTAACTTTGGGTGTCGATGTTGGTTGATTCGACCAACTTATCATACGCTGTGTCCAACGGCAGTTCTCTGCCACTAACTTCACCCCCCTCACCCCCTACCAACAATTTTGTGGGTGGGGGGAGAAGGGTGAAAAAAAATAAAATGAAAGGAAAGATTAAGATGAAAGGTAAGAAAAGATGAAGGTAAGAATAAAAGGAAGGTAAAAATGAGATAAAAGGCAAGAATAAGAAAAAGAAAGGACTAAGAGAATCAGGTAACGGAAATGTAAGAAGTAGGGAAAAAAGGAAGAACAACATGAAAAGGTATAAATAAGAAAAAGTTTGAAAAACAGTTAGGAGAAATAAAGAAAAACTACAAGATGGCAAATTGCAAAGGGGAAAAAAACCTAGTAGCATAACAGAAAAAAAGGAAAAAGAGGGTAGAGGGGGCAAAGTTCAAGTCAGATCACATTTATTAAGGTGAAAGCATTTAAGTATGTACTGTGAAAGGGAATAATAAAGCCACGACTAAGATTTGTGTTGGGTATGTTGTGTATCAGAGCCGATTAGACAAGACACCGTCTTCGAAGAGTAGAGTCATTAAAGATTATTTCAGAAGATGACCAATGTGTAGGAAGATTTAGAGTCCCTAACATGACAGAAGAGAGCATTGTTTGTGTCTGCAGATTAACACACAAAAGAAGTGTTAAGTCTGCAGACACTAAAGTTTGTCTAGTGTTACTTTTAGTTGCCTTGTCACTTCTCTTTAGACAAATCTGGTTCTCATTTGTAGACCTTGTGGAACTTGATAAATTTTTATTTTTTTTAATCCCAGCAAGTTGAAATAACTTTTACATTTGCATATAATTAGGACTTGTAAAGTACTGAACAAAAAATGGTTTAAAATTTTATTGTGTGTAGTAGTAGTGTGTTAAATCGCACTGTGCAGAACTGGGAGTATACCGTACCTTCCTCAGATGCAACTATTTCTTACTGTAATACATCCATCAATAATTTATCCATAATTCCATTTCGATAACACATAAGTACTGTATGTATGCTTTAAGCTATTTCAAACTAATATTGTTAAATTCTTTAACACACCTAACATACTTCATCAATTACAATACTGAAAAAATTGAACCTAATCATACACTATAAACCTTCAAGGTAGTGCAACTCATTCACTCCCTTTTCTCTTGAATTCCTGACCAATCATCACAATTCTAAATATTCAATATATATGCACTGACTACAATAAAATACAAGTGACTTAAATACAATGCAATATTATGATTATGCACTTACCGAGGCAAATGATACTGGAGACAGGGACATTCCTTCAATTGTAGCACGTAATTCATCAACACTCGCTGACATTGGTGCACTCCCATTACTTATTGGTTTGATCTCAACGTGAATTTTTTTGTCTGCCTCTACATCTGTCCAAGAAAATCTATAATGTAATTAAATAATTAAAAAAAAACAGCATTGAATGTAATGAAACACCATTTTCTGGGTGAGTTCCGGAGGCTTCCCGGAGCTATTCAGGCTGAATGGAAATGTATAACTTTCTGGCATCAGTCAATGCATGGAGTTCTTGACTACCGGGGACCACGAGCCAGAATCTGGCCCCCTCTAGAGAGGCACGAGGAGCAATGGCCTGTAGAGACCCCCCTTATGATTGGGAGCATTCTATGTCTGCCACTGACCGGGACAGGCATCCAGAAAGGTAGGCGCCCCAAAACAAATCCCTATTCTGGTAAACTATTGCGACCGAAGACCGAACAAGTGGAGAGAACTCCCCAAACGAAAATTAGCAAACAATCCTGACGTCATCATGTCGCCGCGCCGCTGTCTGCGCATCCCCCACCCCCTCCCTGGGAGGGGGTAGGGGGGAGCCCCAGACCCCACCGTCGGCGACCCAACCGTTAGCTCTTAGGCTGGATGTCAAAAACGTGAAAACACCGCCGACCGGAGGGAGGGAGGGATGCTGGGGAGCCTCCGGGACTTACCCAGAAAATGGCGTTTCATTACATTCAAAGCTGGTTTTCTGGGGGAGCCCCGTCGGCTCCCCCCAGTCGGAGCCGGTTGGCCAAGCGGACAGCACGCTGGACTTGTGATCCTGTGGTTCTGAGTTCGATCCCGGGCGCTGGCGAGAAACAATGGGCAGAGTTTCTTTCACCCTATGCCCCTGTTACCTAGCAGTAAAATAGGTACCTGGGTGTTAGTCAGCTGTCACGGGCTGCTTCCTGGGGGTGGAGGCCTGGTCGAGGACCGGGCCGCGGGGACACTAAAAAGCCCCGAAATCATCTCAAGATAACCTCCCCGGAGCTAACTAGCCAAATATAAGGAAAAAACAGAGACTTACCCGGGAAGCGATCCGTCTTCACTCCTCAACGCGAAGTCGAGACAACTGGCTGCAACCACCAACCCAATGCAAAGCAGGCCCAACCAAGCCAAGGAACATTCACCAGGTAGCGAGCGTCCAGGACCCTGTTCGATCTCCAAAAACCCCGGGCCCGAATGTCCACCCAAGACATGTTGCCAAATACGGCAGCCAAAGCAGCAAATTTACAAACGTCATGGGCCCGGGGAAAAACTGCAGGATGGCTACACTTAATAACCCTGCGGACGACCTGAGAGACCCGAGCCCAAGAACAGGGAAGAAGGGAAACCGGATCAACCCAGAGCATATCCCAAGCAACAGAAGTTATGGCGCGCAAATAACAGCGGAGAGCCACAACTGGACACAACACATAATGCACCGACGGCCTGACCAACCAAGCATCATCAACCCACGGCCCCCTCCGGAATGCAGCCGTCTCATTCTTCGCCAGAAAAGAGGGAGACGGCTGCAAATGAACAAAACGACCACCAGGACCGAAAGAGCAGAAACCTCTGCGCTGGAGGAGAGCATGAAGCTCCACAACCCAACCCCCAGAGGCCAATGCCAAAAGGAAAAGAGCCTTAGAAAAACAATCCCGAACAGAAGGGGTCGCAACAAACCAAAGAGAAGAGAGAAACGAGAGCATGCGGTCCAAGGACCAAGACGGCTCAGGCAGCGCATGAGCAGGCTGGAGGTGAAACAACGCACGAGACAGCTTGCAAAACGGGGCAGAAGTAATATCAACACCGAAAGCAAGCTGAAGCGGCTCCGCCAACGCCGAACAATACGAGGCGACAGTATTTGGCATATGATGACGGTCCTGAAACAACCAAGAGAGAAAAGACAGAACAACCCTATCAGAGACCGAAGAATACTGACGCAGTGATAGGAAAAACCGGAAGGACCGCCAGGAAACTTCATACTACCGCTGAGACGAAGCACGCAGGTGGGAGGCCAACAATGAAGCCACCTGAGCACCATACAAGGAATGATAAACCCAAGTCAAAAACACCAGACATGAAGACTCGAGGAGAAGACCGAACCAGCCTCGTACAGGGCTGGACCTATCTGCTGAAAGAGGCGGAGCCGTGGGAAGACCCTTGGGTTAGGACACCAAGCAAGCAGCGCCTGAAACCAAGGCGGGGCCAGCCACCAAGGAGTCAGAAGGACAACTTGACCCTGGTAAGTCTCCAAGCGAGTCGGGACCTGGAGCAACAGCGGAACCGGGGGAAAGAGGTACAGGTAACCCCACCCCGCCCAGTCCTGCTTAAAGGCATCGACCCCGACGGCCTCGCAGTCGGGGAAGGGCGCCACATATACCGGGAGACGCCTCGACAACGCCAACGAGAAGAGATCCACATTCGGAGTCCCAAACATCCTGCACAGCCAACTGAAGGAGTCGGTGTCGACCGGCCATTCCGTGGAAAGGGGAAGGAACCAGGACAGGCCATCCGTCAGGAGAGCCAAACCCCGAGAACTCGGCAGACGAGTCACCCCGAAGCGACCAGCACCAAAGAGCCAAGGACCACATCGAACCCCCGCAGTTCAGGCAATGAACCACCGGGGAGCCATCCGAATGGAGCCCGATCGTCGATCTGCGAGCGACTTGAACCCTCTGGAGCAACATCCACACCGCCTCGAACTCCCACACCGTGCTGTGAGCCCAATGGAAGGACAGGCCCAACGGAAGGACAGACCCCACTGCCCCTGGCCGGCCTGGTGAGCAGGGGTCACAAAACCCCAGCCAAGAGACGACACGTCCATGTACACATTGGGCGAGGACTCGGGAAGGCGCCAAGGCACCAAACCCCGAAAAACCCGAACAGAAAGCCGGCAACGCAGCAACCGACGCTAAGCCCCCGGGGGCCGAACCCAACAATTGCGAGAGACGGAAAGGCTGTCCCCAAAGGAACCAGAACAGCCGATGAAGCCACACCCAACCCGGCGGGTAGACCATCATGGCAAAGTTCAGGCTCTCGCACAAACTCTCGAGCAACCGCCTCGTGACCCGAGAACCCCTCAGAAACAGGCGAAGGCGGGACAGCAGGCGCAACAGAGCCGCCGGAGGTAGAAACAAGGAAGCAGTGCAAGCGTCCCAAACCAGACCCAGTCAAGATCGAGCCTGAGAGGGAACCAGATGGGACTTCCTCCAGTTCACCAAGAACCCAAACCTGGCGAGCTGGGAAGAACCAAATCCCTGGCGAGCAGACACGCGGACCGGCTGGAAGCCCAAACCGGCCAGTCGTTGATGTAGTCCAGAACCTGAACACCTAGCAAATGCAGGCGGGTCACCATGACTCGAGTAAGGCATGTGAAAACACGAGGTGCCAGATTCAAGCAGAAGGGAAGACAACGAAAGCGGTAACCTTGATGCCCCACAACAATACCGAGCCAGTCCCTAAACCCCGGATGAACCGGGACGTGCCAACACGCGTCCCTGAGGTCCAGGGACACCATCCAAGCACCCTGCTCCAAGAGAAGACGGACCTGGGACATCGTACAGTATCCACTCAATTTAACAGCCTCTTTTATACCGATCTGCCGGTAATAATGACCGGGTTTGGGAGACCGGTATCTAGAGCCTCATATACCGGTCTGATGGTGGATATTACCGAAGGTCGGTATTGGGTTTGTTTCGGCATCAGGGGATCCTCACATGGCAAGCAGGCCGCCTACCTCTATCATCCCCTCGCTCACCCTCACTGAACCTCTCCCCCACTCCCTCCCACCCTGCTCCCCCCCCTTCCCAAGACCGTTCTGGGAAATGGCTCAGTACATTCCCAGCCAGCCAGAGACAGCCTGGAGAATCTTCATCTAATACAATAAAGCATTCATGAAACAAGTATTTTATAACTTTTTATTATCCTAATAATATTACTAAACAAAATCTGCAACTAAAAATATATATGATGTACATACATCCAGAATTTAAGAAACATCTGTTTAACTGGATCAAGTGCATTAGGCTTATCAGTGAGCCGGTCTACCACCGACACACCTCCCCCCCCTACACCCATACACACTCTGCTTCACCACAATTCAACACCCATCCCTGCCTCCATCCCTCCCTCCCTCCTTCCATCCCTCCCTCCATCCATCCCTCTCTCCATCCGTTACTCCCTCCCTCCTTCCATCCCTCCCTCCCTCCCTTCTTCCCTCCCTCCATCTATCCCTCCATCGTTCCATTCATCCCTTCATCCATCCATCCATCCATCCATCTCCATTCTCTCCCTTCCTGCCTACCTCCCAGCCTCTTCCTGCCTACATTTCAGCCTTTCCATCCCTGCCTGCCTGTCCATCCACCCACCAGTCAACCATCACTGACACAATTAGTGCATTTGGAGCCAACATGGTGCACGGATGTTCCTTGATTGTGCAGATATGTCCAACAAAGTCACGGAATGAACACTTCAGCTTCTTGACAAATCAAAACAATGTGCTGTGACTCTGTGATGTCACAGGGTAGAAGGCAATAGAGTGGTAGACCAAGTGGCAGTCTGTACAAAATATATCTTATCTGAATGTTACTTAAAAAATTACCGACACTTAACTTTGGAAATACCGGAGCTCCGGAAATAATGACCAGGGTACAGCCCCATATAGGCCGTTAAATCGAGAGGATACTGTAGTCATCCTGAAGGAGGGGCACAAAACCCACAGGTTCAGACAGGACAAGTCCAGAATGAACCCGTAGGTCCGCGCAGTCCCGTTTCGGGACCGGAAACAGGAGGAAAACCCACCAGAGGGACGCCGTCGTTTCGACCATGCCCAAGCGAACCCACTTCGAGATGACTTGACAGTGCGCAGAAGAGGCCTGCCCCGCCAGCCCCGAATCCCCCGAGGGAGGAGGAGCCACCCAACACCACCACAGGACGCACGAAACGACCCGAAAAACCCACGAATCATGGTACCAGGCGTGAGCAAACCGGGCGAGCCACCCGCCCCATCAATAGGACGAACCGCGAAAGGGCCGATGGGCCTTGCGAGAACCCAAGCGGCAAACAGGGCGGACCCCACGCCGAGCAGCAATAGCTGGAACCGAAGGCGTCGCCAGCCCCGAATCCGGCACCCAGAGGCCTACCCCAACGAAAAGACCCCCCCGAGCCCTGGCACGACCCTTCTGGGAAGGCCCCCAGGAGTTCCCCGGAGCAACAACAACTCAGACATAGGCCAGCAACTAACAGAGGCCGCCTGCAGGTACTGCACCACAGCAGACTCAGCAAACAGCAACGGACACAAGGGAGAAGACAAATGAAGAGCCAGGGCCCAGGCGAACTCCAAGGAAGAAGACAGCACCACCTGACGACACACAAGGGGAGAAGCATAGAACCGCGAAATCGCATCACACAGGATGGGGACAAAGAGCTACAACAAACCAGATGACACACGCACTGCAGAGGGCAGTGCGTGCGTCATGGAAGGAAGGAACGCGAATCCATCATGAAAGCATAATCCGGGTCGTGCAGGAGGTAAGCCGCCAAGGCTTCCTGGACCTCCGAAGACGAAACACTGAAATCTCCGGAAAGAAGGAACCGAAGAACCCGCGGGATCACGGAACCGAACCCGGGGAGGGGTGGACACCAAATCCAATTCGTATGCAGAAAGAGTGAAAGAGAATCCCTCTCCTTGTAACACCAAGCTCTGCTCAGAGGGTAGAAAAACCCAGGCGAGGTCCAACGAGGGCCCAAGGCCCCCAAGCCAACCCCGGGAACCTCGTCCTGAGGACCCGGGGCCGAGCAGTCCTCCTGCGACCCCACCCCCAAAGAAAAGGTGGGAGCAGCCGAAAAAGCTGGAACAAAGGGGGTCCACTGGCCAGACCCAGAAGCTCCGGCAGAAGGACCAGGCACGAATGCCTCCGCCACCACCCCAGAAGGGGACACCCCCAAGACTGCCCGAGTCTCACAACCAACTAAACCCAGCCCGGCTCCGAAACCTCAGACGTTTCGGAGCCGGCAGCAATGGGAGGGGGACCAAATGGGCAACAGAAGAGGAAGGACTTGGAGTGGAGGACGGAACCAGAGCCAAAGTGACTCCCACCCCTAGGTCCAGGTCCCTATAACCAAAACGGGGCAGTCTCGGGGCATCAGGGGCAGCAACCAACCTAGCTCGTTGCAGCAACCTAAAGCGAGCATGCAACACCTCAGCTGCCCTCACCTGCATATCAGGCACAGTAGCATGGGTGAATTGGAGTACGTACAGACAACACACGTCGCACGACTCCAGATCAAAACAGTCACCGACCCAACAGGCAGCATGGCGGAGGCAAAACCGGTGAGTGTCCCCCTGAAACAAGGGAAAAGGGCAACCTTCAACCTGGCAGGATGAGAGAGGGGTCTCAGGGGTCACATCCATCGGACCACGTAGCCCCAGTGGGGTTTACCAGGGCCCTTAGCCTCGGTTACACGCTGAGGGAAGCCCAGGCAGGGCACTGCGAACCGGCACCCAAGACAACCAAACAAACTGCTGGTAGTTTGCCGGGGAATGTGAGTGTATATGTCCCCCGGGACGTGTACACTCATAGGGGGGCCAAGCGGGGAGGACCACCAACACAAAGTGGAGATATAAAGATATAGATATACCCAAAGAACAGCGATGGGGGACCAACAGGCAGACCCCCCATCAGACAGAAAACAAAAACAAAAACATTGTCTTCTTGTCCCCGCAAGAGGACAATGTACCTGGGCGGAACAGAGCCGGCCGCTGTTAATGGTTAAAACTAGCTGTGCAGTACTCCGCACCCCTGCCAGTGACGAAACTACCCCTACCCAGAGATAAACAAGGGCAAGAAAAAAAACAGCAGACCCCAAGGGCAGCCAAGTACCGAGCAGTAAACGGCACAGCGGAGGTAGACCCTAAGGTGACCCAGGGAAGGTAACCCTAAGCCCCAAGGGCAGTACTTACAGGGCACCTAGGGAAGGTGACCTTAGGCACATGCAGCCCAAGTACCGTGGAAAATCACTCTTGCCCACGCACCACTGGAAGGAACAGCTCAAACCACAAGGCACAGAACTGCAACGGAAAACTGGAGCCAGAGGCACGACCGCACCAGATCCCATCAGCCTGAGAACTAATGGTTGGGCCGCCAATGTTGGGGTCTGGGGATCCCCCATTCCCCCTCCCGGGGAGGTGGGGTGCGCAGACAGCGGCGCGGCCACATGATAACGTCATGATTGTTTGCTAATTTTCGTTTGGGGAGTTCTGTCCACTTGTTCGGTCTTTGTTTGCAATAGTTTAGCAGAATAGGGGTTTGTTTTGTGGTGCCTACCTTTCTGGGTGCCTGTCCCGGTCGATGGCAGACATAGAATGCTCCCAATCATAAGGGAGGGTCTCTATAGGCCATTGCTCCTCGTGCCTCTCCACGCATTGACTGATGCCAGAAAGTTATACATATTCATTCAGCCTGGATAGCTCCAGGGAGCCGACAGGGCTCCCCCCAGAAAAACTAAATTGTATAAGCCAAGCTTATAGTCTTATTATTACCCACCTTTTTTTTTATCCTGCATTTATAACATCAGATTTTTACACATTAATGTTGAAAAACATACAAATTTATCATCATTGTTTTTAGCTAGACAGAATCTATACAGTATGCTGGCACCAAGCAACTGTAGTTACTAATCTTGGTTAGTCTAGAGAATGTGATTCATAAAAGCTTTTCCTTAATATGATAACTGTGATTCCCTCTCTTTTGATTTATTACAACATTTGCTTTCACATTATAATAGTTCAGATATGTAGTGAGTCAAGTAAAGGTTGATATAGTAGTCAGGTAATCATTTCCTTTCAATCATCATATATACACACATAACCCCTAATCTTCCATTAAATTAAGGCTTACTAACCCGAGTCAGAATCTGAAGAAGAGTCAAAGCTGTTATCATCTCCTGAATGTTTTATCTCTTGAGGTCGGAGAGAAAATCCTTCGTCATCAACATTTGGAGTTTGAGCACCTGTACTTCCTTTGTCTGATGCTGATGTTAATGTTGGAGTTATTAGTTCACTTGTCTTTGGCCCTGAGTCATCATTGGTTTCACTGCAAGAGAAACCAATGTCTCAAAACTCGAGTCTCAAAACTTTATGATGATTACATTAACAATCACTAAATTGTACTAAGACATTTGTTGACCATTGTTTAACACTTTAGCAGTCCAGCCTCTTCGCACGTTCCCAACTATAGATGTTCTGGGCTCCCAGGGTCACTCACTGCCCACTCACAGCATAGTGAAAAACATTTACAATCATTTTGTGTTTTCTAAATTATTTGTTGGATTATAACAATAAATTTGCTGTCAAAATGTTTAAAAATAAATTATCTACAGAATATATGTTCCGTATGTGTATGGGTAGTATTGAAAAGTCTTAGGCCTTTGATGTTGATTGTGCTCTCAGCAAGGTTCTTGCTACTCTGCTTTTCAGTGGGGCTATTTTGCACATCCTGCCATGCCTTTTGGTTTTATGTGGTGTTATTTGTGTGTACAGATTTGGTACAAGACCTTCTAGTATTTTCCAAGTGTAAATTAAAGAGATACCTCAGACACCCAAATGGCTCCAAACTCGAACACTGCAAGCCTCGAACATTTTATTCAAGAAAAAACCAGCTTTGAATGTAATGAAACGCCATTTTTCAAACATAGGAATGTTGAAACAAACATAGGAATGTGCCTTAATGCCAATAGTGACTGCCCAGACAGGTACAAGAGGAGTGTTGTCAACGCTTACGTCGACCGGGCTCTCAGTCACAGCTCTGGTTGGAAGCAAGTCGATGAAGAACTACGTAGGGTAAAGCAGGTCCTAGTCAACAATGGCTTCTCTAACGGTTATGTTGAAGACGTCATAAAAAGAAAGGTGAAATGCCATGCAACCTCTGAAGAGTCAACTAACACAACACTTGTACCCCCCTATTAGACTTTTACAGGAACTTCTTTTCAACTGCTCATAAAATGGAGGAAAGTGTCCTGAAAGATATTATTAAATTGGAACGATATCCCTACAGACAAAAATCAGAAGATACAATTGACAATTTACTGCAAAAATAAGAAAACGGTCAACCTACTCATGAAAATCTCTCCAGACACCATCAGTACACCTTGAAAGAAACCAACGTCGTCTATGCCTTCACATGCCCATTTGGGGACTGTCAGCCCCAAAGATCTCAGTATATAGGCAAGACAACAACGTCTGTTTCTAGGCGATTAACAATAGAGGGGACCAGGTTCTGGCTCGTAGTCCCCAGTAGGCAAGAACTCCATGCATTGACTGATGCCAGAAAGATATATATATATATCCATTCAGCCTGGATAACTCCGAGGGAGCCGACGGGGCATCCCCCCCCAGAAAAGGTAGTAAAGCAGATGCAAAAATTATAGACCAATATCTCTAACTTCACACATGATAAAAATCTTTGAAAGTGTGCTAAGAAGTAAAATTACAAATCACAGGGAATCACAACATCTACATAACGCCGGGCAACATGGGTTTAGAACAGAGCGCTTCTGCTTCTAACAATTACTAGATCACTATGACATGGCCTTCATGTAATAGCCCCCCCCCTGCTACACCCCTTTCTCACCTAACACCCCAGCTTAACACTGCTGCAAGATCACTGTGACCCTCTCACTGAACTATCACCTAATATTAAAACTGAAATATTAACTGGGGTGAAGCAGCAAACATCAAAGTGTTATTAATCTTAAATAATGAATAGAACTTAAAATTACACAACTGCCACTACCTTCCTGACCTGAATGTGCCTGTATTACTGATCTCCCAGGAAGGACAGATATCAATAATTATGAAACTTGAAGGGAGTAGGAATCTTGGCAATAATGCTTGGGAATTATATAAATCTTTACTTTACTTATTGAGGATTCAAGATCCACTCTAATATCCATGAAATGGAGAACACAGGGGGGGGGGGGGGAAGAGGGGGTCTAATACAGCACATAAACACCACATATAAAATGACTCAGCATTAATAAAAGGGGGAATAGATAACTAAACAACAAATTACATTAATAAGAACTTTATTGACCAATGACACGTATATTTATAAAAAAATGAAATATATCCTACTCTAAATATATCCCTAAGAGGCAATATAACCGGAGTGCAATTACTTTGATGTACCAAAACTCAGACAGACATTACCTTACTCCTGCAATACCAGCCCAAATGTTGAGTGGCTGCCCTCCAGGTCACCTGACCTGTACCCAAGTCCCACACCAGACACACTGCCTAATATTTTCTTAACAAGCTTACCAGTGGAAAACAGGCTCCATCCACTCTAAGTTCCTTAGGCATAATAAACCCCGCCTCTCGAAGACTAGAGCCAATGAGTTCAAAGTCTTGCTCTAGGCCTTGATCCAGTTAGCCAAATGCCCTGACTTGCTCTGCCCACATAGGCCTCCCTGGCTTCCACCAATCAAGGCTCCTGGCTAGGCTATAGGCCTGCCCTGAAAGTTATGTTTTATTCCCGCAGAATTCTTGTCTGGTTCCCACGCTCCATCCAGGAAAACAAACAGGCGGTATATGGCAGCAGCCACCCCAAGAGAAATTTGAGAACTACGGTTTTATGGCACTGAGTTTAACTGCGCCTCAAATTTGTCAAGGGCTATAGTGTAGACAGGACAAAGAGGGGGAAAACGATTGGGGGACGGCTGAGGGGGAGGATTGGCAAGGGGATTGGAAAGTAGGATTGGCCCGCGATGGAAGGGCAGTGTACTTTGCCTACAGACACTTGACTCGAGTTTTATGACCGGTGATGCCAGACTGTGACAAATGGGAGGGGAGGGGGAAGGAAATAAGGGAAGGGATGGGGTGAAGGGAGAGGGGGAGAGGGAGAAGCAATGGTCTGAGCACAGATCATTACATTAAGTGCAATGGAAGAAGAGCAAAGTGCAAAGGAAAAAATACAGACTTTGCAAAAGTTTTCGACAAATGTGACCATGGTGTTATTGCATACAAAATCTGCTCAAAACGAATTACTGGCAAAGTATGGAGATAGATCTTTAACGTCCTAATGAACAGAATGCAGAGAATAATAGTCAACACAGTAAAATTCAGATCATCTACCATGAAAAGCTCAATCCCCCAAGGTAACGTACTTGATCCAGTACTTTTTCCCATCCTCATATCAAACATAGACAAGGACACAAACTATAGTACTGCATCATCATTTGCAGATGACACTAGGATATCCAAGCAAGTAGACTACATAGAGGACACAGCAAACTTCCAATCAGGATGTCTAAGAGAAATCATGATGTAAGACCTTACCTTTAAAGATCACAATAAAGTAGCTTTCATGACTGCTAGAAAAATGACAGCAAGGATAACAAGGACCTTTTAACCCTTAACATGCTAGGGGTATAATATCCTTTCTTCCCCACAGGCGCGTGTAATTTTGGAGAGAATCAAAAAAAAAAAAAAAAAAAAAAATTTTTTTTTTTTTCTTCCTGTTAATTTGTGTTCACTATCCACGGGAAAAATAATAAAAAAAATCGTAAGTGGCATATATTGCCCCCTATAGGGTGGGGAAGTCTGGCAAAAAATAGGCGCTGACTCAGAGTGCGTCCCAGGCGGTCTGTTGCTCGCCAGCTGTCAGGCCGGAGTTGCCACAAAGAGATAATTACCTAATTATTTCAATGTCTCTGATTGATTTTTCATAGTTTTTTGCTGTAATATTATTCAATAGTGTGTAGTTTGATATATTTATATAATAAAATGAGTGAATCATTGCTGTACTCAAAAATATGGTGTGCATATTGTTGATTCAATTATGTTCATCAATCAGTGAACAAATACTTTGTCGGTTATTACACTATAAGCACAGGTTATATATAAGTATCTGCATGTTTTGTTCACTATAACGAAGCACTAAGTAGCTATTATGAGTAAAAAAGTAACAAGGAGTGACCGCCGTGTACCAGCCAGCCACTCCCGCCCTCCCTCCAGTCATCTGACTCGCCCACATTCTCCTCCCACAATACTGTTTTTGCTATAATTCACTATATACAGACGTTATATATAAGTATCTACATGTTTTGTTCACCATAACTGTACATCTAAGTTTGTATGGTGAGTAAAGGCACAAAGATGTAGGACCTCACACAGGCAGCTGATGGCTGCTGCCCTCAAGGCCAGACGCACTAATATTTCTCCTCCAACAATACTGTGTGGTGTTATTACGCTATATACACACATTATATATAAATATCTACCTGTTTTATTCACCATACTTGTACAAATAAACTGGTATGGTACCCAAAGACCATCGTGGTAACCAGTAAACAACACCGTCGTCTGCATGGTGGCGTCGTGCAGACGACGCCACCGCCCTCACCAAAATGGCGGCTCCCAACCTTCTCTTGCCGTTTATACCCTCTATACACATGTTATATACAAGTATCTACATTTGTGTTCACCACAGCGAACCACTAAGCTGGTATGGTGAGTGCAGTCAATAAAAGGTGGCCACACACAGTCAGAAGACATTGCCACCACCCTCCCTCCCACAGCATTACTCCTCCCTCCACAGCGCACAGCGCTAAATATCACCACAATACTGCTATTATCAGAACCCTGGTCAGTTTTATCAGTCAGGGGTCTTCTGTAATAATATCATGAACAAGTATATTTTGGCATTTTTAGGCGATGCTGTGGTCACAAGCTGAACAGCAGTGCTGTTAGCTCATGCTGCGTGCGTCAGGCTTGGTTGCTCACTCAATACTGAGGCCAATAACACCCGAGAGTATGGCCCACGATTTTTTTTAAAAATGGCGTCTGTTTACAAGAGCCCTGATGAAGGTGTGGTGAACCCCGTGTATCCGCGGGCCGTTTAAATCTTGCGTAGTACTCCAACACGTCATATGACGTGATGCGCAGTTGACTGGAACAACTTCCAACACGTCATATGACATGATGCGCACTTTAAGGATTAAACAAGGAATGCCATACCAAATATGATACTTTTAAAAAATTAGTGTTCTCTAGGAGTGGAATATAATTGCACACTAACAGGCCCATTCAGAGCCGGAGAAATTGCCGACCAAGAGACCATAAAATGATCCTTTACCACTAGAATCTAAATTATTGGGATAGATTAAAAGTTCTAAATCTGTAATCTCTAAGAGCGCATGCTAGAGAGAGACAGTACATAATAATCAACACATGGAAAATATTAGAGGGACTGGTTCCAAATCTGAATATGGAGATTACGTCACACGAAACCAGTAGGCATGGCAGGATGTGCAAAATAGCCTCATAGAAAAGCAGAGATGCAATAGGTACACTGAGGGAGAATTCTATCAACATCAAGGCCCAAGACTTTTTAACACTCTCCTGTTACACATTAGGGGCATAACTGGCCGACCTCTCACAGTGTTCACGAGAGAACGCGACAAACACGTTCAAAGAATACCTGATTAACCAGGCTATGATTCATACGTCAGGCGGCGAGCAGCCACATCCAACAGCCTGGATGATCAGATGACCAAACGGAGATCTGGTCAGAGACAGGTCCATGGGGCCTTTTGATCTCTGGAACCTCCACAAGGTAGACAAGGTTGGCGTGAGTTGATCTAGTATCCCAAACTCACTCTGCCTCTAATGAATGGACCAGACTATGCTTTTGGTCTGTGGTAGGCCTTTATGACATACAAGGGTCTGATGGGAATGTGCTGGGTTTGGAGGCGACTGTACAGGAAGCTCAGGGAGCTCATATATAGGGCACATTCTCATTCATTCTACATGAATTCAATGTATTCTATATATTCTCATATTTAGTGCACAGGTGCTATAATAAAGAAACTATACTAGCAAAACTCTTACTTATCTGACTTTTCCTCTTTATTACTGGAAGAATCAGCATCTTTCTTTTTCTTGACTTTTTTCTCTTTGTTTTTTCTGTCTCTTCTGCTTCTGAGGAACCCTGAAAAGAAAAAATATAAAGTAAACCTTATATATTTGACGGCTATGTAAACAATATGTAATACCTGTATATACAAATATTATTAATTCAATTAAATCTTAGTTTTATCAGTATTTGAAGAAATGTTAAGGCAATGCAAAATGTACCAATCTAAAGGTCATTAAACATTTAATTTTTAAATAAAATTTATATATTAAATCAAAGCAGCAAAACTACAATTAGAATACCGACAATAAATAAAGGTCAGCCATAATAAAATAAGGTTTACCATTGTTCCATTTGGAAACACTGACAAACTATCAAATAAAGAACATTCTACCAATAACACTGAAATACTGTATACTATTATCATAATATTACACACCAGTTTAAAAAATTTAACATAGTTTATGACCAATTTACAAGTAAATGTTGCATTAATGTTGCAATAATACTCTTAATTGCGTGTAACATTTAAACAATGAAACTTCATTCACAATACAGTAGTTATCAATGTATATTAGATTTAAAGTCAGCATTTAATAACCCTGGTGTTTCCATTACTTATCCAAGGGCCTAAATACAAGCATATTTATTTTATTTACACGTTTTATGAGAATCTACCGGGTTACTGTCCACGAACTGCAATGACACAAAATGATAGTATATTTATATTTTATTATTGTGCTAATAAATTAGGCCTTTTTTTTGTAATTACCTTTTTTTATCAGACTCACATTATTTGCCTGCTCTACTTTATAAAACTATACACTTAGTTTTTAATAAAAATAATAATTTTGAATTTTCATTAATGAGCACAAAACACATAGGTACTGTATTGAAAAGACTATATTTATCTAAAATTGCAGAAAATGTTGCAAGGCAGAACATGGTCATCATAGTGGTGCACCACCTGTAATGTAAGTATCTGGCACCATAACTAACACCAAGTCCAGGTCTTCAATGTCAGTGTTCCCATTTTTCCCCCTGAAGGCCCATTATATTTTCTTGCCTCCACTAGTGCAGGCTCAATGTGCCACAGCTTATAATGTGGACTTACTGTTCAGGTCGGAAGTAATAAATAACTTGTATATATATATATTACCTCTTCAAAGAATTGTCATGTATTACACCTTGTCTTGCAGGTGGAGTGCATTTGCATTTTATAAGATTGGATAATCACTAATATTAGCATGCACTATTCTTATCAATAAAAAGTTAGTGTGCTTTTGAAAGTGCAATATTTAAGTATGATTATATTTACTGTATTTGTGTTAGAAGCGAATGAATGCAATTCATGATTCTTAACAAAATAAACACAACAAAAAATTATTTATTAAATAATTGCTAAGTTCATCTTCATGAGATATATTTAAAACAGGAAAATTAGAAATATTGTATTATCGAACATGACTAAATATGACCTGGAAAAATCTAAAAATCTGTATGATACACAACAAGACCACGTCTCTATTAATACAAATGTAGCTTGAATGTTAAACTTATAGACCTAACAAATGTGAACGTAACCATTTCAGAATTACTCTTATTAACATTTCTAAAAAACATTTTTGTAATTACGTTTAATTGAAGCAGTAAAGCCATTACAATATAAGCACCGGCATGCAAGGTTAAGGACATGCACAAAGGCAGAGTCGCACAAATTATTGGTTAGACCAACGAGTGCATCAAATAATGAATATTAAAACCAATCTTGCCAATAACCATTGAATAATAAAGCTAAAATTACTTGAGTCAATATACAAGGCCAAAGAATTCAAATTATATTAATCATTTTTGTAATTAAATTTAAACAACATGCTAAAATTAAAACAACATCCATATAACCTGTTAGTGCAGAACTTGACAAAATATTTATTTCTGTATGCAGATGACACATTAAACATTCTTTTAATAAATACTTGAAATCCAACAGCTACTCATGGTCTAGACAAACTTCAATGTTGCACAATAACATTTTAAGTAACACACAGTACTGTTTGTTTAAAATAAATATACTTGGATAAATATAAAAAAGTAAATAAATATTTGAATAAAATAATATACTATTTTACAGTATTCAACAGTTACATGTATTTTGCAGAGAAAACTTTCAGTAATTAATTCAGAAAATATGTTCCAACATTTTCACTACTTTACAGGTGACCTATTAAGACACAGATGAGCACATTTAAATGATTATGACATAAAAACAGGAATGCTGTATACTAAAATAAGCACAAGAAAATGGAATAAAATAGTATGCACGCCTTCCAGGCACTGATTACACTTGCTTTCTTGCAAGATGAGGGAGATGAAGAATTCTGCTCTGGTTTATTATGTGAAATTATAAACACAGCTCAAGCTCTATGAAAACACAATACATAGCAATCATCACATTTACATGATACAAAACTCAATTTTTTTAATTTCATAAATTTCAGAATTCAAATGACTGGATTAATAAAAAAAAAACAGCATTAAATGTAATGAAACAACATTTCCTGGGTGAGCCCTGGAGGTTCGTTCCCAGAATCTATCTAACTGACATGTGCCATATTAGTTTGGTGCCATATTAGTCCTTGGAGTTCGAGTACGTACCAGGTGCCACAAGCCAGAACCTGACCACCTCAGAGAGGCACAGGGATTAATGGCCATATGAGCTCTCTACATTTACAGTTTGTCATTTCTGCCATCAATTGTAGAAGGCACCCAGAAAGGTAGGTGACCATTACAAATGTCTAACTGGTTAAAATTGCAACCTACATCTGAACTGTGGCCCAAAACTCCCCCTAGTTGAAAACAAGGAAACAAGCAACACGTCATCCAACCAGCACGGCTACTTGTTAGCGCCTCACCCTCCCCTGAGAGGGGGGGAGGGGGAAACCCCACTCAGGCAAGCAGGCCGCACTACCCTAAGTTTGGAGAATGATGAAAACTGACGATCAGAGGGATGGAGGGTGTCAGAAAGCCTCCGGGGCTCACCCAGAAAATGGCTTTTCATTACATTCAATGCTGGTTTTCTGAGGGAGGCCCTGTCGGCTCTCTGAAGCTATCTACCCACATAAGTAAAAATCCAGCGCTGAATGTAATGAAACGTCATTTTCTGGGTGAGACCCGGAGGCTTCCCCGGAGCTGATATGTATATTACAGGCATACCTCAGAATAAGAGTTTAATCCGTTCCTGGAGACGCCTCGCCTTCCGAAAACTCGCATTCCGAAGTTAATTTCCCCATAAGAAATAAAGGGAAATGAATTAATCCGTTCCTGACTACCCCAAAAACCCCACATCAAACTAAATTTTTATACCTAATTTACCTAATTCATCTAAATACACCTACAAAACTGTGTTCCAGTTATTACTTACCTTGCTGTCGAGTGCTGTAGGCGTATAGAAGATGGTGAGGAGGGGGGAGGAGGAGAGGAGTTACTGTTTGGAAGGGGAGTCCCCTTCCATAATCACATCACATAACCCCATGCCTTGTAACACTATGGATACCACTTCTCTTTCTAAATTTTTCAAACCAGCCCCTGCTTGCCTTAAACTCTTTCTTATCTGCATCACTCGTTGCAGGGGTATTCTTTAGAAGGTCTTCGTGCAACACCCTGGCTTTCTCACAAATAATGGCCTCCGAAACACTATCACCCCTCAACTCCTTGTCGTGTATCCAAATTAATAACAACTTTTCCACTTCTTCAAGTATTTGTGGTCTTTGTGCCGTTAATGTTCTTACTCCTTTTGCCACTTTAGCACCCATAATCTTATTTTTCTTCTTAAGTATAGTGCATATTGTTGATGTGGCTTTGTTGTACTGCCTACAAAGTTCAACAACACGTGTACCGTTCTCATGCTTCCGAATGATCTCTTGTTTCTCCTCTATTGTCATCCTCACATGAGCTTTCTGGCCTTTATCCTTACCACTGGCTTTCTTGGGACCCATGGTGAGATATATAATAACAAATTGTATAGACAAATCACCAAAAATCCAACAAAACACTGAAAATCCGCGAGAAGAATTGATGTGGGGGTAGTCACTGAGCGCGAGACAATAATAAACTGAGGGGCGGAGGGGCGACGAACGCGCTAGGTCGGCTGTACGCGTATCAACAAACTCGCGTCCAAACTCGCCTCCCGAAGTAACCCTCGCCTTCTGAGACAAATTTTTGGAGTAAATACACCTCGCCTTCCGAAAACCTCGCATACAGGGACAATCGCATTCCGAGGTACCACTGTATTAGACTTTGGCATTAGTCAGTATGAATGGAGTTCTAGGCCTACCAGGGACCACGAGCCAGAACCTGGCCCCCTCAGAGAGGCACGAGGAGCAATGGCCTATAGAAGTGCACATGTGTTAGAAGCATTCTATGTCTACCATTGCCAGACACCCAGAAAGGTAAGCGCGCCTAAAAAAAAACACTCCTATCCTGGTTAAAACTACTACTGAAAGCTAAAGCATGGACAGAACTCCCCAAATGAAAAACGAGCAACCAAACATGAAATCACATTTGCTGCGCTGCTTGTCTGCGCAGCTTCCCCCTCCCCAGGAGGGGAAAGGGGAAGCCCCAGACCCATCACGCTGGCTATCCACCAGTCAGTTCAAGGCTGGATGTCAAAACACGTGAAAAAAACGCCGACCGGTGGGAGGGAGGGTTGCCGGGGAGCCTCCTGGTCTCACCCAGAAAATGGAGTTTCAGTACATTCAATGCTGGTTTTCTGGGGAAAGCCCCTTCAGCTCCCCCGAGTTAACTACCTAAAGCCAAGGACATAAGAGGGACAAACCCATGAGGAGGAAGCCACACGCCCGAACCCAGAAGCAAGACAACAGGCAACACCAAACGACCCCACAGACGACCCTGGAGACCCAAACCCTGGAACAGGGACGAAGGGAACCCAGGTCAACCCAAAGCACGTCCAGGGCCACAGAGGCCGCGGCATGCAGGCAATGGCCGAGAGCCACAAACCAGACACAAGAAGATGCATCCCCGGCCAACCAAACAAACATTAACAACCCCAGGAAAAA